ACCTTTCGGTCACGATTGCATTTTTACACCTGTCCGCATTGATTTTCGGCTGAGCCGGACGGACGTCCGACGAACGCCCTTGGGGTTGTTTACCCCAAAAGGAAGAGATCCGACTGACCCACACGACACTAATTCAACCACCTGTAGCATCCACCCTGATGCCATGGTGCGGCCACTAACGGGGCGACGCACAAAACCGACCCGATTGATGGGCGGACGGCCAGGGGCGGATTACGGGGGATGAGACCCGGGGGTGGGAAAGCGAGCCGATTTTGGTGACGACAAACTTGGGACGCACCTAACCAAAATGGGATTCAATAAAACCAGCGATAAGAAGGACTGAAATATGTTCATCAAGACTATGTATCATTAATAATGTAACTGAATTAAGAAAAGATTCCTTCGTTATATTCCTAACCATCGACGACATCCTACAAGCTCTTTTTTCTGCGTATCTAAAGCATTCTTGTAGTGTTAGAAGTGAAGGTTTCGGCTGTGTCAATTGTGAAAAAAAGACATTTGTAAATATGCGTAAACTTTTGACCTGAATTCTATTAAACTTACAAACGTGATATAATCAGTTTTATGTAACTGAGGGAAAAACACAGGCAATAATTAACAACATATTTACTTCTTTTTTCTTTATGGAACAGCACAGACACGTTCTGAAAGAAGAACTGTAAATTTAAACATTGGTTCTATCGATCGTCGCACGACAGCAATTCTGCAGTCATTTTGTCTTTTTTCCTTTCAAGAAAAGGTTTTGCTTTCTTACAAGAGCAATTTTTCTGTTCACTTTGGATTATACCGTAAAGCGCTTTATACCCGTCTTCGCCTTTTCTACATACGTAATTAAAGCTCCTTCACAAAGCTCGCTTAAAATACATATTCAATTAACTCAGTAATTAAGTAAAACAGAGTTAAATTAGTTTCTTCCCTTCTGCAAATTTGTATTAAATAGAATATTGAAAGGAGAGCTGCTTAAAATTACAGTTTTCATAAAGTTATATTTTACTGCAATTAGTGAGACGTTATTATGGACCAAATTAAACCCGGGCATGTGCTAGAATAGTCGACACATTTTACCCTTGTAAAAACTCCTATATTTTTTTAATCTCCCGAAATGAATTTTTTACTGTACTATTTTATGATAAATACCGAGTTCATATTAATGTTTGTGATTTTTTTGTCAGGTTGGCAACATATCTAAAATTTTATGATGGCATTACTGATTGTCAAATTTACAACTGTGAACTGATATACGTGTAAGCATGGCTGCCAATAACTCAGAAATGCCAACACAAAAATTTACTGCAATCATTAATAGCCACCCGGTATATTTTAATATATACTTATAAAAAGAATAGTCCTGAATCACTCACTGACTGACTCATCAACGCCCAGCCCAAACCCTTGGTTGTAGACAACGGAAATTTTGCAGAGATGTTTCCTTTATAATGTAGACAAGGAACCAGATCGCATTTTTCGAAATTCCTCCCCTAAAGGGCAAAATAGGGGATGAAATTCTTAATGTTCGTTCTGTCCTACATTTTCAGAGTAAAAGCTTGAAATTTAATATTAGGCTTCTGGCTAGAAATTAAACCATTATTTGTTTCAGCATTTTTGGAAATTCCACCCCTGAAGGGATCAAATGGGGGATGAAAATTTGTAAGTTGCGTAATTTTTGAAACAATAAACAAGAGAAATGGATATGTAACATTTACCTGTTCCTGCGTTTTTGGAAATTGCACCCCTAAGGAGGTAAAATAGGGGATGAAAAATTGAATGGAAGTCGCATTTTTTGTTTAAATACTTAGTAGTTCTCTAAGACAATTTGTTTCTAAAATGACGAGTGGTATGTCCTGGTAGATGATATTTAGTAGTTGGTCAGTTTCCTTTTTTTATATAGGTATACACGGTCACTAAATGCGCGTTCGAGAACTTATTATTTAAAACAAAAAAAAAAGTCGAAGACCAAAGTTGTATGGTTCATACTTTAATTGACCACTTCTTAGGCTTAACAACGAAAGTTTATTTTTGAAATTACGATGCGACGTTGCCACGTTATTCCGGTTTTCTTGAAAATTTGTAGCATGGATGGGTTTACAAAAAAATCACAGTGGGGTTATTTTTTTAAATCTCCGTTACATTTTGTGGAGAGATAAAGAAAGATTCGTGCTTTGTTGTGGTAGAAACTGAAAATGAGATTAAATTTTCATATACCGAGTGTATATAAAATTTTTTTAATTATAACAATTTTCAAATAGAACACCCTAAATTTTATTACTTCATCTTATTCTATTCTTTGTTCTCTTTCTTTTTGGTTGACTACATCGACATATTAGAAATATGAAGACAAAAAATTCAGTCAGATACAGTAGGAAAATATCGATATTTGAAAACTGTAAAGTTATTATTATTATTATTATTTTTTTTTTTTGTAAACACCGTATAATAAAATTTGATTTAATTGTTACCACAACAAAACGCGTACCTTTATTTACCCCTCCACAAAATATTGCAAGACTGAAGATCGAGTTTTTTTTTAACCTTTCCACTGCCAAAAAATTAAAGAAAATTGTAATAACGTAGCAACGTCGCATAGAAATTTCATAAGTAAACTGTGGATGTAAAACCTAAGGAGCACTCAAATATCACTTAATATATCTATAGTTATATAGGGTGTTACATTAAAAAAAATTAAGTTTTGTATTATGCCATAAAAACAACACTGTATAGTTAAAACTAATTTTAAAGCATAGTTCTAAAAGAACCGTACAACTTTGGTCGTTAATTTTTTTAGTGACTCATCCTGTATATAAATAAAATAATGTGTTTAACCATAAATTTCATATTCCTGGTAAACCAGTATTTCCGTATATACAGGATGAGTCACTAAGCATGGGTTCCTCAATATCTCATTCACTGTTAGAAAAAGAAAAAAATTAAAGACCAACCTTGTGTGCTTCTTTCAGGATTATGCTCTTCAATTACTTTTAGTTATAGAAAGTGTTCTGTTTTTTGGGCGCACCACACAACTTAGTTTTTTTTTTTTAAATGAACCGCCCTATATATTTTTAGATGTTTTGATTGACCTCTTCTTAGGCTTTACCACAACAGTTTATTTTTGAAATTCTAATGCGACATTACCATGTTATTCTATTTTTCTTGAATTTATTAGCAGTGGAAGGGTTCACAGAAAAAATTGTAGCAGGGTTATTTTTAAAATCTATGTTACAAGATTTTGTGGAGAGTTGTGGAGAATTGTGAAATTCAATTTAATTTGAGTTGGGGGTGTTGTTTATTTCGTTGTTGTTAAATTTTTATTGGAAATATATTAATTAATAAGGTACGCGCTTGGTTGTGGTCTAAGTTATATGACATTGTTATATACAGAGTGTTTATAAAAAATGTTGATTATTACAATTTTCAAATATCGATATTTTGAAATTTGTAAAATTTTAGACTTTTTTATAAACCTCCTGTATATTAAAGTTTGATTTAATTTATACCACGAAAAAGGGCGGACCTTTATTTATCCTTCCATAAAATATTGTAACATAAATTTTAAAAATAACCCCTTTGTGAATTTTTTTGTGAACACTTCTATTGCTAGAAAATTCAACAAAATGGATATAACATGGCAACGCCGCATCTGAATTTCAAAAGTAAACTGTGGTTGTAAAGCTTAAAGAGAGACCAATTAAAACATGTTATTAAAAGTTATATAGGGATCTTTCATTTAAAAAAAAACGAAATTGTGTGTTACGCCCTAAAAACAGAACACTCTGTATAGCTAAAAATAATTTTAGAGTATAGTCCTCAAAAAACCGCACATCTTTATTAGTTGATTTTTTTATATACCTATATAGATGTGTTTAGGTAGGGGCATTAAATTTCATATGGCAGGTAAACCTGTGTTGCCATGTATACAGGATGAGCCACTAAACGCGCGTTGACTATTGACTATTAGAAAAGGAAAAAAAACAGACTTGTGCGGTTCTTTCAAAACAATGCTCTACAAATATTTTTAGCTATACAGAGTGTTCTGCTTTTAAGGCACAATACACATCTTGGTTTTTTTCAATGAAACACCCTATATATTTTTAGATTTTTTGATTGACCTGTTCTTAAGCTTTACAATTACAGTTTATTTTTGAAATTTCGATGCAACATTGCCACGTTATTCTATTTTTCTTCAATTTAATTAGCAGTGGAAGGCTTAAAAAAAATTGTAGCAGGGTTATTTTTAAAACCTATGTTACAAGATTTTGTGGAGAGATAAATAAAGGTACGCGCTTGGTTGTGGTCTAAGTTATATGATATTGTTATATACAGAGTGTTTATAAAAAATTTTGATTATTACAATTTTCAAATATCGATATTTTGAAAATTGTAAAATTTTGGAATTTTTTATAAACTTTCTGTATATTAAAGTTTGATATAATTTATACCACGAAAAAGGGCGGACCTTTATTTATCCTTCCATAAAATATTGTTACATAAATTTTAAAAATAACCCTGTTGCGAATTTTTTGTGAACCCTTCCGTTGCTAGAAAATTCAACAAAATGGATATAACATGGCAACGCCGCATCAGAATTTCAAAAGTAAACTGTGGTTGTAAAGCTTAAAGAGAGACCAATTAAAATATGCTGTTTGTGATTATTAGGAATTACTTCGAAGGACCAAAATGAACAGTGCGACCGTTGTACTTGGGATTTATTCCAGAACTCTGACTACATAATTGTGTGTACCGGTACCGACTAAATGGGGTGGGTGGGATACACCCCCACCTCTCACAACCCCAGGTACCGGCTAAAAATGATTGGATATGGAATTTCCAACATATGCTATTAGAAGTTATATACTCAGGATCACGAAGCAATGCGTACACGTCATGGATGACGTAGATCCGTTACCAACACTAAATCAAAAATACGCGCCGCAATACGTGGCAATACGGATCAAAATCGATCAATTTGGGCGAAATTATATTGGTACGACTGATAGCGAAACATATGCTAAAGTTTTATCGATTTCACAAGTGTCATTGGTGTCAACTTTGGTTATGTTGTGTTATTGTTTGATTTTTCGCGTTTTTCTACTTTTCTGCTCGTGTAATCGTATCAGTTCTTTTCAGAACTATAACAGTTCTTTATAGAACTCCAAGTTAACTGTCCTGTACCGTGGTACGTGTCGCTTGCTTGAACGTAAACATTCCACCATGCCGAAGCCCTTGCACAAAGATGTAAAGCAAATGGACGATAATTTAGTGGACTATTTTGCTAAAGAACGCGATAGCGGGGAACCTCTTTTACCACTAACAGCTGTTCAAGACGTAAGTAGGTGTATTTTATTACAATTACTAATGCAGTCACATTGTACAGAGGGTTGCTGCTGCTCTGGGTGTATGTGTGCGAACAGTGAACTCCGTGGTACAACAAATAAAAACCGGAGAAGGTGTACATTCTCCCAAGAAATAGAGACCCCCGAACAAAGCAAGTGTGTGATATTAGCACTTCGGAGCAGTGTGCTATTCGAGAATGCTTATATGGAATGGTCGAAGAAAGTATGAATTTGATGTGCACGCCTTATAGATACTAACGACTATTTTACAGAAATACATGTTACACGATCGCCATTAATTGATTGCTTGAAGGAGAAACATATATTGGAGGGTTCTGTGAGCTCGTTAGGAAAAATTTTACATTCTCAATTGGGTTTCGTTATTCGCCAACCAGTGTACGGAAGCGTCTTATGGAATTACAACATGTTGTTCATGCAAGAACCAAATTCTTACGTGAATACATGCACAATCAGCAGAACCCAAATTCTTTGCCATGTGTATATCTTGATGAAACATGGATATTTGAAAATGGTTCGGTAGTTAGGTCATTGCAAGACGATAGTGTCATAAGTATCAGGATGTTCAAAATAGAAGGGAAAATTTAGTAATGTGTCAGTTTCACGTTAGTTATTTATTCTTCTCACTATATTTTAGGTATATTGTATTACATGCAGGTACAAGCAATGGATTTATTGATGAAGCAGCGCTAGTATTTTCTTCTAATACCAAAAATCCAGACTATCATGGCGAAATGAATCAACAGAATTTTCTCAAGTGGTTTCAATTGCTCATGAACCTTGAAGAACCACCACCATGACATAAGTTCAGATTCACAGCTGTTAAAAACGGAACTTCTTCATTTGGTTGCACAGTAATGCATATACTATTCTCTTTCGTTTCATTTAAAATATCATGTTTTTCAGAAATAAACCTCCAAAAACGTATGTTGCCATGAATTGGGCCAACAGAATGGCCATAGAGTATTGCGATTGCCGCCATATCATTGTGTGTTTAACCCTATAGAAAATACTTGGTGAATTACTACAAATTTTTATTCCAAACACATTGGGCGTGATGGTTATGGTCAAAAAATTCCGTGGAAATGTGGAAAGAAGCGTTAGCACATGTCACGCCCACAATGTGGAAAAATACTGTTGACCATATGAATAAAATAATACGGGAGTGGTGGGAACGGGAATTAGTATTTGACCGTGAAGAGATTGCGCCGTTTATAATCGACATTAACGAAGATTCACATTATAGTTTTAGTGATTATGACAGTGAAGATTCTAATACTGCAGAGGGCATTCAGCCACTGTAACATGTAGGTTATTTTCCATTACCATCCTAATTGATTGTACTACCGGCATGTTCTGCTGATGTCTTTTATAATCACACTATCACTTCACTGGCCAAATATACAAATCACTGGTCAGACGACGACGTTGTGCAACATGCATACTTATTATTGTTTATACTTTACTTTTGTATCTATTCCATGTCAATAAAGTAACTTATTCTGTAGATGTGACGTGCCTGTTGTGGCAGGGAAGACGGTAAGCATATTTCTCTAACTTGAAGCCTGTCACAACTGTTCAATGCTGTCTGTTTGAGACGTATGTTAACATTCTCGTTGGTAGCTTTAAGTACAGTATGAAGCCTTGTACCACCCTCCAAGTATGTGTTTAACACCCAATTGTCAGCAGTTTTTACCAGCAGTCAATGCAAAAATGAACGTTCTTAAAGCCAGTCATTCACGTTCCAACGCCGGGGTACGATTGTATTGGATACAACTGCTGTACAATTTTTCTGAAAAGCAGCAGTACACACACGTTACGACCTTGCAGTTAAAAATTTGCGATCGTGGTGGCAACATGTCCGAAGAAAATGGACTTTTATACCTGCTTTCACGGTTTGTATAACATACACTGTCCCCACACGATTAAGTTTCCAACCAATACAACACGATTGTACTGCTGCAGACAGACTTGTTCACCAACCGTCCACATCCAACCGATTTGCTTGATCGCATACACAGATGTTCGAAAACACTTCAACTTTGTCATATCCTACACAATTGTACCGCGGCGTTGGAACGTGAGTGGCAGGCTTCAGTGACTAAGAACACGTGAAAGGGGTTACAGTCGTGATCTTTCCTGTGCCTGAGTTTGTAATTCATAGCGTCTATGCAGCCTGCAGCATGCCCTTCTATGCTGAAACACTGCAAGTGTAGCTTATTTCTAAACTGTTGCTTCACACTAACGGTCTTCTCATGCTATAATCATAAATAGAACAAACCAAAACAATAACAAACCGACATGTTTGTTGACAGTTTTCAAACCGATTCATTTGTATAATAAACGTGGTAGACGCATGACGTCATACAGAGTCCGTGACGTGTACGCATTGCTTCGTGATCCTGACTTTATAGGGATGTTTCATTTAAAAAAACTAAGTTGTGTGTTACGCCCTAAAAACAGAACACTCTGTATAGCTAAACATAATTTTAGAGTATAGTCCTCAAAAAACCGCACATCTTTATTAGTTTGACTATTAGAAACGAAAAAAAACAGACTTGTGCGGTTCTTTCAAAACAATGCTCTACAAATATTTTTAGCTATACAGAGTGTTCTGCACATACACATCTTAGTTTTTTTTTAATGAAACACCCTATGTATTTTTAGATATTTTGATTGACCTGTTCTTAAGCTTTACAATTACAGTTTATTTTTGAAATTCTGATGCAACATTGCCACGTTATTCCAATTTTCTTAAATTTTTTAGCAGTAGAAGGATTAGCTAAAGAATCGCTGAAGGGTGATTTCAAAAATCTGTGTTACAATATTTTCTGGAGAGATAAATAAAGTACTTGCTTGGTTGTGGTATAAATCAAATAACATTGTTATATACAGAGTGTTAATATTTTTTTTTTATTTTTACAGTTTTCAAATATCGATATTTTAGTTTTTTCGAATACTTAGAACACGTCATATTGTATTACTACATCTGATTCTGTTTTTTGTTACTGCAATTTTTTACTTATTTAAAGGACGTCGACATATTAGAAGAATGAGAACAAAAATAGAATAAGCTATAGTAATAAATATGTTTTGTTTGAAAAAACTAAAAATCGATATTTGAAAATTGTAAAGTTTCAGATATATTTTATGAACATTCTGTCGCAGCGGAATTTTAAAAATAAAAGTAGTAATGACTAATGAGATCTCTGGGACCGCGCGCTTAGTGACTCACCCTGTATAGTGTTTATATAATTATCATCAGATTTTAGGTACTTCCAGGCCATGATGACAGTGTCACTCGACTGTCACAGTCCTCTTTAGTCCTGCTCTTTCTATTAAATAATTTTTGAGACATTGTTTCCGTTCTAAAAATCAGAAATAGGTACTTCCACTATGGTAACTATGGTAACAAATATATAATAACACTGGTCAGCCAATAGAGGATGGAAATCCAGCTTTACAGCATTTGGCTATCGATCTCGAAATGAAAAAATAAAAACGAATGTGACAGTTTGTTCTAAAACTACCAACCAATGTGATTAACGCACGTTCCACTGAATCAGCCGAATTAAGCAGCACGCGTTCGAATTAGATTTGTTGGTTGGCATTCGAAACGAAAAAATACTCAATAAGTTATGGATTCTCAAATCCTGGAGATTTATTCCGTTCGGATTCCACTCTAGAGAGTGGAAAATGCTTTGGTGGTTAATACTTAATATAGAATCCATGTTACACGTTTTGCAGCAGTTGTGGGCCAGTGTCCAGTTTATGGAGTGCAAAGGATGTATCAGGAAAGTCGGACGTTTTAAAATAGCCATTTTCGATGAGAAGATGTAAGCGTTTTATTGGAGCATATTGTGCCCCTCGGTGAGTGTACAATTCTCGTATTATTGATCTCATCCGGGCTCTGGGGAGCAATACAAGACGTTTCAGTGAGGAAAATATGACTGCAATGCGTGTTTTTCATACACATACACTTTGTAATATCCATAAAATACATATTGCCATAAAAGTTACCCTTTTGTCGGGGGCCGGGGCACCACCCCTTCACATTCCCTTTTATCTCGTTCTGTTTTTATTAAACCAAACTAAATTTTCGTAAAGTTTGTTTGAATTCATGTATTTAAATATTCATTTTTCGACGCATTTACATACATATGGGACAGAATGATATTCCGCATTTACTTTGAATTTTAAATTTCGATGTAATCATATTCGGAATTAAATCAGTTCATTTTGAAACTCGGCGAAAGTCGATTCGACGCCAAGTTTGATGATAAGATTGAAAAGTTGGTGCTTTTTGTCGTTATATCGGGTTATTTAAAGTTTTTTTGTTGTCAGATCAAGAACATTTTGAATTTAGCGCCGGGGCGATTTTTTCTCCTTCAACGATCCGCTTAAAATTTATACTTTAATACCGCTGAAACAAAATAATAAAAGCTAAGAATAATGGCCGGGAGATGTTGTTACTAAATGAAATTGCCTCTGGGGTATTAAATTTTTATATTACGGTACTTTCTAACAGGTTTCAGTTATTAAGTGAAAATTATACGAGAGAAAGACGTAATTGAAGTGGCTCTAAATTGTAGTGTTTTATTCGAAACGAGCCCCGCTCACACCGCGGCTTTTCCCCTGTGTGAGCCGTACTCACGCTCATACGCGATGACCAATTTATGGCTACAACTCGTGTAAGTTATTGTGCACGACCTGAAGAATATTTATTCCGATTCAGCCGTGCAGAAAAACGAGGAATAACCGAGGTAATTACTTCATCCCGTTGGAAAAAAATGATCCGAGTTTTTGCACCATTTTCCTCAAAGCTCATCCTTGCTTTACATAACGGTTCGTTAGGTCGTATTTGATCTTCATACGCTCTAATTTCAAGTGCTACTGTTTCCGTTTTTAATCTCTCTCTGTTGATTATTTTATTTCGTTTGTGGCTGTTGATGACGCCTAACGAGGCCCAAAATCGGTCGAACGGATTCCGATTGCTTGAATGGATGATGCACGTCGCGTTTGATCATCTGAACCCGCCTTCAGCTTTGCTGGCGCGATTAAATGGTTAAGTTGCTGATTGAAAGCGGCGTGACTCGAAACGCGATTAAAGCTGGGCTCATGACGTCTTTATCGCCGGTGAGACTTTTTGACGCGACAGGCGTGAACCCGGCCTTAGGTGGGCATTTTTCAAAGTCACGGTCAAAGGCTAAAAGAGTGTCGGATTTAAATCGCTCGTTAACATCGAAAATCAATTTGTACTGTGTTTACGTTACAAAATGCGATTTATTTTTTCTAAAATCAAAGGTCGATTCACATTAATTATATTTTCATGTACCACTGTAATGTACAAATTGCTTAGACAGATCTGACGATGATTACTTTACATAGCTGTTGTTAATTTTATTGTGCACTTAAACTCTTAGATGTACTTAAATACGTTTTCCAAGTAATAGCTTCCGTATTAGTTGAGACAGATACTGACCTGCGTAAACTAGCACAACACTTTTAGTTCTATTTTAGTATATTACTCAACTTGCCATTAAACTCAGCTTTTTATAACACACTGTTTCGCAACTAATACGAGAGTTATTATTTGTAGAACGCGATATATTAAATATTTTTAGGAAGCCGCTGCCGAATTTATTTAGAAACCGTCGATCTATCTGCTGAAACAAATGTCATCAATAATTCAAAGGAATCAGTGATGCAAAGCTGATCATTTGTAGTAATATAACAAAAACTGTATTAAAGGCATGACTAGTTAAAATTGTTACAAAGAATGAAGCCATGGTTTACAGGTCGTAAAATACAACTACCACAACTTATAAGGTAACATAAACACATAAGAATGAAGTTATGAGTAAGCTAGGCAAGTTTTATAACAGGGTTCATCTGGCGAATGACTAATTTCATGTTTTGTCGACGTTTTAAACCCCTAGAACATGGAAAAGTAGATGTTCTGTTTCCGTCTGTCTGTCGTCTGAATGTCTGTGGCGATTTTTACTAGACAAATAATCTCCGAAACTACTGGACCGTTGTTGTCAAATTTTATTTTTTATTATTTAACGAAAACTAAAATTTGTCTTATCTCATTATAAAATAATATACTCCTGTACGGGTGGTTTATGAATCTGCCTTGAATTGTATCACAATGATGTGTCTCATGTATGAAATGCCTCGTAGTTTAGCTGGTTAAGTAGTGGTTTGTCGGACTGATGCCCTACCGCCCGTGTGGATTCGAATCTCATCCTTATCCATTTTTTTTACATTTTGACTCACTGATTAACTTACCAACGCCCTTGGACTTAGAAAGATGAAATTTTGCACAGATCTAGACAAGGAATAAGGCCGGATTTTTAGAAATTCCCACGGGACAGGTCTTATCTATATATACAGGATGTTAAAAAAATGGCGCACAAACTCAAGTCGAAGTTCAATAAAAATGATTACAAAATTCCTATGTCAATTTGAAATTTGAATTACAAAAACAAAATATCGACTTAGAAA